CATTTTTACTAAAAATTTTCAGGGGTTTAATTGGGGGTTGGCGGAAAAATTTAGAAAAAAACAAGGTTTGCCCTTTCCCCCGTGGGGGGGCGGTTTTGGAGCCCCGTGGGCCCCGTTTGTCACCAGCCATTAAAGCGGGGCTGGTGCAAACCCCCCGGGGACCCCCCCCGGTTAAGTTGTCCCAGGAAAGAAAAAATTAAAAAGGTAGGGGTTTTCCGGGGTCCCCTCTTCCCTTTTTTAAGGGGGGGGTATAATTTTGACCCCCTGTTGAGAGGGTTGACCCTTTTAAAAACCCCCGGCCCCCCCTGGTCATTGAAAAAGTGCCCAAAAACCCTTTTAAACCGGGCCCTTTTGGCGATCGTACCCTTTATGCAAAAGATGGTTGGGGAGAAGAATGGTGGGTGTTTTTTATTCAACGAATTTTACCCGGGGAATTTAAATTTAACGTGTGGTTTTTAGAACCCGATCAGCTTAGCTTAAGCTGAGGTATGATCTTCTTGTTGGACAAAAAAGCATTGTAAAACATTGAGTGCAGATCGCAGGTGTATATAATGGTATTATAAATTATTCTGATTGAGTGGTGGTATTATTCTGATTGAGTTATAGTGGTATTATTCTGATTGAGTGCAGTTTTGGTGATAATATTATTCTGATTGAGTGGTGGTATTATTCTGATTGAGTGGTGGTATTATTCTGATTGAGTGGTGGTATTATTCTGATTGAGTGGTGGTATTATTCTGATTGAGTGGTGGTATTATTCTGATTGAGTGGTGGTATTATTCTGATTGAGTGGTGGTATTATTCTGATTGAGTGGTGGTATTATTCTGATTGAGTGGTGGTATTATTCTGATTGATCAGTGGCCGTGGTATTATTCTGATTGAGTGGTACAATATTATATATATAACTGATATTATTTTCGCGGTTGGATATTTTTTTGAAAACGTCTCATCTTTATTAGTCTATATGGAATGAATTTAGTTCTAATTCTATCTTCAAAGAATGCTCAATTATCAAAATCCTTGCCTAATTCTGTTAGAGTTATTTCAAAACTTATTACAACAATACAAATCTATTAAATTTATTGAGGAAGCGGTGTAACAGAGTCGATATATTTTAATGTTGCCATGGGGTGGCAAGTCTCCATTCATCGCAGTCCGGTAGTTTCACTGCATCTAAATATATTATTCCAACTTATAATATAGAAATGTAAAATTGCTTCTATATAAAAGTATAAACGGATTAAATCGTGAGTAAAACAATAATATCTCATAAGTGTATAATAAAGCATCAAAAATGCACCACGGCACTCTTACAAAATCAGAATAAAGAAAATGAGAAATCAGTATTCTTTACGACTCAAATACCCTCTATAATCATCTGAGCTGTAATAAGTAGTACTTTTGTGATGATCATAAGCTGCCCCTCAATTTTTACTCCCGTAATTTTGAAAGCTTCATTAGTATGAGCCATAATACGGTAAACTTTGTCATTATTTGAATTTCCTCCACTGACCAATGGACATCTTTGCTTTCTGCGTTAATTTTGGAGCTCGAGAACAGATCATAACCGGTAAAATACGCAATTTAACGATTTTTCTTAGCCAACAGGTGGGTTTCTTGACGATTTTTTGAAGCTTATTAGCGATGAGTACTCATTACAAACCTCCCGGACAATGATCTGAAGGGCTAGAGTGGATGATTTTTCGACAAATTACATAGATTAAATCACGTGTTCAGTTCTAGGTTACCCACGTGATAATTCCTACCGATTATTGCGCGGCTGCTGTTCCTTCTCTCCGCAAAGTTATTGAAAACCAGAAGGTGATCCAGAAGATGGGAGGCAGGTGGGGGACTATTATATAATGTCCAGTCCTTGATCGTATTTTCTGTGGGGGGAATCAACAACCTTTTGTATTTTGTTAAGATTCGAGACCAATTATAAAACAGGTGTGAGTTATTCAGTCATAGGCAGAGAGAGAGAGAGAAAAGGGGAGAGAGAGAGAGAGAGAGAGAGAGAGAGAGAGAGAGAGAGAGAGAGAAAAAAGGGGAGAGAGAGAGAGAGAGTAAGAGAGAGAGAGAGAGTAAGAGAGAGAGAGAGAGAGAGAGAGAGAGAGAGAGAGAGAGAGAGAGAGAGAGAGAGAGAGAGAGAGAGAGAGAGAGAGAGAGAGAGAGAGAGAGAGAGAGAGAGAGAGAGAGAGAGAGAGAGAGAGAGAGAGAGAGAGAGAGAGAGAGAGAGAGAGAGAGAGAGAGAGAGAGAGAGAGAGAGAGAGAGAGAGAGAGAGAGAGAGAGAGAGAGAGAGAGAGAGAGAGAGAGAGAGAGAGAGAGAGAGAGAGAGAGAGAGAGAGAGAGAGAGAGAGAGAGAGAGAGAGAGGGAGAGAGAGATAAGCTGTTGGAGCTCCTATAGTTATATAGTTAAAACTGCAGAGCTGATGAATGTATTGCCAGAAATTACAGAAGATCAAAGATGTACAAAGAGAAAACGTGATTCTCAAGATTGCACAACTAATAAGGACCATTTGCACTGAAACATGATTGAATAGGTTACATGTCCGATATGTGTATTTATTTAAATTTGTGTAAACTTTTACATTACGATTGAATCTAATTGTAGGGGTATCAAGAAAAAAATGCTACTTATTTCACTTGTCAACTAACCTTGAAGATCTTGCGATAGCTTTGGCAGATGTTATTGTATTTTTTTAGTTGATGAAAATTATGGTTTCAAGTTTACAAATTGTTGTTTAATGTTAAAAAATTGTGGTTTCAAGTTTATAAATTGAGGTTTCAAGTTTACAATTGCGCGCATTATTATGGAAAAGTGTTAATATCAACCATAATAATCTAAAAGTTGTCATGAGTTTTAATTGGACTCCTGAATATTCAATATCACATTAGTAAACTTAAGTTCTTTAACGAGTACCTGGTGCATATGAATATGCATAATGTAAGTGCTGATGCCAATACTGTATCGTTTCAATGATTGTCATGCAAAGACTCAAAGAGTTTAAAATATCTTTTGCTCCTATACTCTAGTACTGTCTTATCAAAGAGCTCGTTTAACTTTAAAGTAGTAACTTTTAACTCAATTCCAATCAAATTAAAAAGTTTTAAGTTTAATTTTCATCGCATTTCTTCGACGTACTGCACTTTGTCCGTGGTTCAATCACCCGCAACCCGAGATTAATTGGACAGTTATAAAACTCACGTGTTTATACGATCCGCTTGGCCTCTTCTGGGTGAGCTGCACGTGACCGCACACCACATGACCAGCTCCGCCCACACGTGCTGTTTTCACACCAGAACTCTGCAACATTAATATTGATTTTAATCCACTTATATCACTTGAAAAATCAGAGCGCCCCGCGCGCACGAGTAAAATCTACAGCTCTTTAATAAACATGCTCTATCTAGGTGACACGTGCATGATGCATCACTGCTAATAAAGCTGATGAAGCACGTGTTGGGGGAGATTGAAGAGATTTCACGAGGCCGTGAAAATAACAAATATATGTGCTTCATAGAACGAGCGTTACGAAAACATGGATCATGAAAATGGTGACGATCAGAGGACCCTTGGTTAATGATAATTGCACATGACATAGGCAGGTTGATCTTATTATAGTCGTACTTATAGAGTTACAGTACGTGTCCATCAAATTATAGTAAAAATAAGATCCTGTTTGGGTTTATACAAGATGTTTTAATGACATCAGATATGCTTAAAGTTAAAGCTTCAAAGAAACTGCATTGACGACTTACAGAGGTGAGCACTATATCCGAAGTAAACAACGCTCACGAATCGTGCGAGGAGAGGTCAGGTTGCGTTATTACGTAGGAATTATTGTCCTGAAAGTTAAGAACTCTCTCAAAAGCTGAACTGAGCTTTGAAATTTTTTTTTTATTGAAATCTTTCAAATCAATCAATTACATACAAATTTACACAATGAATGAACAACATTAAATCTTCTCAAAAGTATAAGACTCCGATAAAATCAGATTTTCTAGGACAAAATGTATGTAATCAAAGGACCTGAGGGTCACCAATACACAGATGTTGAGAGCAAAATGCACCTCCTGCACAAGTATGGGCCCACTACACGGAAATCGAAAATTTCAAATAGAATTTCAAATAGAATCACACAAAAATATCAAAAGCAATCAAATCATATAATAAAATGAAATCCATGATGTGATGATATGCACTAAAATGAGAAATGTGAAATACAGACAACAGGGATTTAAGCTCTTATGAACATATTATTAGCTTTAGGTAGACTGCCTCTCACATCTCTGTCTCGAGGGAATAATCTAAATCATAATCAAAGTCCTCCGGCAGAATTTTATCCCACATGTAGGAGGTCAATTTGCTTTTGAACTCAGAAATAATCTCTATCTCACGTATAGCTAGAGGAATATGATTCCATTTGGATTAAAGACTGGTAGTGGTGTTTATATGTATAAACTAATAAACAATTATGACCCTCTTTTCCCATGTCCAAGTTTTTCTTTTTAGGAAGTGTTCAGTTTTAAAATTAACTTGTTCTCGAAATCGTTCATATTTTTTCTCCTTATACAAATACTAAAGGTTTAATGACCATATTATGCAAAGCAGAAAAAACACACACACACACACACACACACACACACACACACACACACACACACACACACACACACACACACACACACACACACACACACACACACACACACACGCACACACACACACACACACACACACACACATATATATATATGCACTAAATAACCCTCATGAGGGAGCCACCTATAAATGGTACACGTAGACCTTTGCACATATTCTCGAGTTGAATGTACGGTGATGATGGTTTACAGTAGCCAAGTTTTACAGTAAGGTATTTGCTTTCCTTGTTACCCCTTGTTATATGGTGAACATTGTGTTATCTTTGTTTCTGAGATAACTTTTTTTTCCTGTGATAGTCCGCTCTTCCATATAGATTTCGCTTACTTTTGTTCGCCATGAACGAGTTAAGACAAAGGTCGACAACAGCAGAGGACCTCGAGGAGTTGGTTGAAAAGGACAGTTTCACCGCAGTTCAAATCTTACTCCGCAAAGTTATCGAAAAGAAATACAACAACCTCCATTTTAGACGGAGAGCTGGGTTGTACCTGGGTCTGTTCATCCTGCTCTCTGTTTACCTCGTTTACTCTCTACTCCTTGCTTTGCAGTGTCAGGACACTGGAACAACACCAGCTTTTGCTGAGACGTTTGGGCATCAACCTGTGTACTTTTTAGAGTCAGGGAAACGGGGGTTAGCGGCGGTGGAGAAGTCCGGGGAACGAGATTTGTACTTGAAAAAATACAGAGTGGACAAAATGAGGAGTGATTCCCTTCCCTTGAACAGACAGCTAGCGGACTATAGACCAGAGGTCTGTAAGGTTAAACCTTACAAAAAAACGACACTGACAATCTCGATAGTTATAGTTTTAGATATTGCTCCCCCGAGTGTAGTCCTGAGAGGTATTTTCAGTGCAATCAGAAGGACAAAACCTGAAAATCTGGCGAACATTGTGGTGTACGCCCAAAAAGGTTCCACTGATATGACTGATTACGTGTACGCTCACCAGCTGTCTCATTTGGTCCGAATAATAACTTCCCCAACAAAGAAAACACTTTCAGCCGCGAGGAACGAGGCAGCCACGTTTGCTATCGGAGACATTTTGGTTTTTATTCCAGAAGCATCTGAGATTCTACCAGGCTGGGCGGAGCCGTTACTGGAAGCATTTTCAGATAACCCCGCTCTTTTGGCGGGCCTATCAATGGATGAGATCAATGGAGAGACTTTCGTTCAGGTAGAGCACGTTCCGTGGCATTTGATATCAATACCGCGGTGGGATCTCGTAACGGCAGCTTCTATTGAGATACCTGAGTACGAACAGAAACGGAGACAACTCCTCCCCTACCCTGACGCTTCCCCAGTCAAAACCCCGATACTACAATTCCTGCCCTGGGCTGCTAGCAGAGAACACTTTCTCAAACTGGGCGGGCTTGACGAGGGGATGTTGGGGACCGCTGCTGAAGTTCCGGGCGATGTTCTAGAACTTTCCATCCGGTGGTGGACATGTCACGGGGAGGTAGCGTATCTGCCCTGCAGTAAGGTAGCCTTTGTAAGCTTGCTGGGGAATCCACCTCTGTCCAGTCACCAGCAAGCTGAGAACCGGCTCTATAACTCACGACGTACCGCAACCAGGTGGGGCTCCCAGTACATTGAGTATTACCACGAGGCTGTACCTAAATCTAAATACCAGTCCGCTTCCCACTCCACCAGACTAGAGCAAACGATATCCTCTCTCTCCTGCCGCTCCATGCACTGGTTCATCACAAATATTGCAGTAGATTGGAATTACGGAGACAAGCTAATGAGACAAGGAACCATTAAATCAACCCAGGGGGACGCTTGTGTGGACACCATGGGACACGAGGGACGGTTCAGTCCAGGAAGACCCGAGTTTTATACCTGTCACGGGGGGCATTCTCAACGGTGGCTCTACCTCAACCGTGGTAAACAACTTCAGACCGAGACTGGAAAGTGTCTGATGAGTGACCAGTATTGGCATGATGTGCTTACCTTGGATTACTGCTCAGAGGGCCACGAGTGGAGGTGGGAGCCTGTTTCGCAGGGTTCAAATGTTGGGTATCTCATATACAAGGACCTGTGTTTGGAGTACAGACATGGGAATAATTTGTTGTTTTATGTGTTGTGTAAGCAGACTGTTAGTCAACAGTTTACCTTCCAGATTATTCCTCCGTGAAGGTTTCTCTGATGTTACATTTTATGAACAGTTCATGATCAAACACGGAACTCTTCAACAGATTAATTTCAATTGATCCTCTTTTTATGGTGCTAGTTAACTAGTCGAGTCAAGAATTATTTCATAATTTCGTCTGAAATCTTTACACTGCGGTGTATTATATAAAATAATAAGTCAAACAGAAAATTTCGTGTAAATCGAGTCGAGTCCAAATGTTAAATGGAGTTAAATGTGCTTCAGAATTTTCACCTGGTCTTTAAGGTCGATTTGTTAATGGAATTATCCCTGATGGTGCTAAATTCGATGGCTAGCCATCTGCTGATGCTGAATTAAAGCCACGCCAATTCCATGTACATTATTTAGTAACTGTTGTGTTGAAGATCGCAATTTTAATATTTGTCAGATCAGCCAACGTACTGATATAATTCGAGGGAGCGCTAGACAGCAATTTTTTATTTTTTGATAACACAAAACGTTATGGTATACGCTTGTGGATTTTGAAAATGCAATGTTCCTGTTTAATATTTATTTGCAAACACATAAGACAACTTATGGATTTATTAGCTCACAGTTTCAAGATCCAAGCGTTTTCGAAATTACATCTTTACTGAATACTGCTCATTTGCATCCACAGGTCTTGAACTTCCTCGTCAATTCAAAATTTAATAATTTTGTCCACTGTTCACATTTTGTTTATTGTTATTAAGTTATGTAATAGTTTATAGTTATACAATTCAAATCTCAAATTTCGTTTGGTGATTCAATATCGTTACGGTTTATTTTGTTTGTTATTTATATTGCCGCATACGGCGAAATTTTTCACTTGCACAGCTTATAAAGTTATAAACTATAGCAAAGTAAGAAATGATTATTCGTATGCTAACTATAATTTTTTTAAAAAGATCTGGCTTCTTTATTTCAAGCTCTACCAGTTTGACATCTATGACCACAATTAGGGTTCAACATTAAACTTTCCCTTGGTAAGTGCTCCAAACATGTCTCACTAGCACTTATACAAGGTGTGCAAATCAGCAGTTTCGCACAAGAAGCTGCAGATTCAAAATATGTGATAGTGACGGAGATCTTGATCCCACACAGCACTTGGTGACATTTAATTGGATTTTTGTACGAGTGCATTAGGAGGAGGAGGGAGAAGGGTGAGGGTCACAAGTATGTCACGTGACCTCAAGGTGCGCTCGCCGTGTTCTAACTGAGATTCCCAATATCAACTGTACGAGAACGAAATTAAATGAGTGGGAAGATGAGCAAGATGTGTATGAAGTCAAATTATTTTATTACAGCATGCAGACTTACTTTATGGGACGTTATTTGACCGAATATTACGTAAACGGACATAATTTTCGCGAGCGTGCTAAATCACTTTACAGTCGATCTTCGAGATTGTTCTAAAACGACAGTTGAAACCAACTTCATTCGATGTATTTTCGGGTGCTGATTCCGAATCACCCCATGACATAAAGTTAAAATGCGCCCCTGACGAGATATTGGCGAAAAACTGTCTCGATCACGTGATATGACCGTATAAGAAAATTAATCTAATTTCTCGTTAGGGTTAGGTTTTCAGCATATGCTTTTGTTAAGGATTGGGTAAGGGTTAGGGTTGGGATCAGATTAGAGGGTTAGGGTTTCCAATAGTCGTTCAGGACCAGCTAAAGAATGGGTTATGAAAAAGTCACGTGACAGTTGAGTGTAGAGTGATTAATGATCATATTAATTTTCGTGTCCGTTCGTTAAAATGCCTTCATTAAAATCAAAATATTCAAAACCATTAAAAATCCGAACGTTTGTTTTCCTTCAAATTGTAGCAAATAATTTTTTAATCGATTTGTAATACAATAAGCAAGAAAATCAGTTGTTAAGCACTAAAAATGTTGATATAATTTAGTCCAATAGGATAGATATAGACCGAAATTAAAAAGTAGTCATACCCTGGACAATAAGTTCGTAGTGGAATACTTTTGGGAACAATTTCGACAGAGAAAACGGAGAAAATCTATTTGAACGGTCATTAAAATGAACGGTAAGGCCTCCGCAAGCGTTCAAGTAAAGTCAGGTCAGGTAAATCAAGTAGATTCGAGCGGATTTTAACAGACTTTAACGGACCTTAATGGACAATTTACTGGACTGAATCGGAATTCGGACTTAAATGGATTTAATTTTAACCATTTTACTGTCCTTAATCGAACTTTACCGGACTTCGCTGGCCCTTACTGGACTCGCTCATACTTTACCGAAATTTACCGGACTTACCGAAATTTACCGGACTTAACTAAACTGCCATTTACCAAATTGAACTGGATCTAACTAGACTTTACCAGACTTTTTCAAGACTCGAGTGGCTAAAACAGTGAAGATATTCGTAAATATTGTCTTCGTGTTCACTATTCTGTAGGATCAGTAGCGAGCACGGCGAGTATTAAGCCCCTGGTATTGCAGCCCGGGCTATTTGGAATGCTTGTTATCATCCTCGATAATCGCGGAAGGAATTGGGAACACGTACGCAACCTGATCAAAATCAATTTTATGTTGGGAGGTGCATAGTCTCCGAAACACAAATTACGCTGCCCATGTCAAAAGCCTACAGCTATACAGTTAGCGTGGCCGCGAGAGTTTATCGATATGAATTATAGTGTAATATATAGAATATGATAGGTTCAATATTAAGACAAAGTAACCTATCATATTCTATATATAATATTACACTATAATTAGTATTGATAAACTGTTGCGGCCACGCTAACTGTAGTATTTTTAAATAATTGTGCGGTTACCGTTTAGGATGATCGATTGTTTAAAAATTTGGCAATTAAAGTTTAATTAAAAATACAAATTTCGCATCATATAGATTAAAATAGAAAAGTTACCTTTAAGATTATCTTCTTACAACCAATTCTCAAGCGACTCAACTGATCAGCAAGCTTGGTAGACGGTATAAAACCCATGTTGCGAAAGCGGCCACACCTTCGTTTCAGTATGTATTTGCTAACAGGTGCAATTTGTACGAACGTGTGATAAACGAACCGAACCTTAAAAGTTAAAACTGAACAAATGATCGTTCTCTTTATCGGATCTCAATTGTTAATTTGTGCCTGTAGTCCACTTCTAGATTTTGTGGTTTATATATCAATAGACCATGTTTTGTAATTGTAACTGTGGGGTTATTTCACAGTGGATTTTATCAATCTCAGTTTTGCATCTGTTTGAACATTAGTATTCATTAGTTACTGAAGATGTACGGAGTGCCCGGAGAAGCTGAAAGTTAGCCGCCTCCCTAGTATCACATCACGTGATCAAATTCACATCACGTGATCAAACCATTGTCAGGAAAATTGAGCATCGTCTAGCGGAGTGTCTGACACCTGAACAAAAACAAATGCTGGTGGAAAGTGACAGTTATTTACAGCCAATTAATTTTCAGTAGCGACTAATCAAAACCCGGAATGACTATCACGTGCCATAAACAGTGTCCATGATTAGAATCCGATAATCAATAATCACCAACCGGTGTCCTAAATGGACACAATGATCTCAAAAGACTCGTTGAGTCTGTATCAACTCAAATACTATTGTCAACCCCTAATTAAACAGGCACATCTAGTGATTAAGCTAGGAGTAAGTGCTCAGAAATCAACGTGACTTGACAGTCACGTGGCAGTCAAATAACGTGACCCGGTTACTAGTTCATCGATAAATGATGGTATTCGAGGTTGCCAGGTGTTTTCCTTGATTTAAGCTGATAAAAGGTTGAAAAAAGGAACAGTTCAACATTCTAGATACCTGGAAAATAACTTAATGTTCTGCGGTGTTCAATAATTTCATGTCGAAATTTGGATTAAGTTGCTATTTCAAATCTGTTGCGTACTTTACTATTTTTTAACTAGTTTGGAAATTGGCCGTAAAAAATTTCATATACGGACTGGTTGTCACAAATTTTGTAACCGTTCACAAAGAAAATAAGAGCTTAAACCGTACCTTAATGTTTCGTGATCATCCTGTATTATCAATATATTTCGGAAATGTTTTGTTTTGTATGGAGTCATAACTAGTAAGCTAATTGTATTCCTTCACAAAATATATTGATCTCATGAAACTTATACACTCTACACTCTATAACAGACTGAACAAAGTCATACCAGGCTGAATACGTTTATATTCTCGTACATTGTTATTGAGTCTCATTTGATGCAGGTTCTTTTGATAAAAGTTCTGCTTTTTTCTTAATTCATTCAGTGTATATAACCTTATTATAAAGGTAAATAAATCACGTTACTTAGCAGTATTATATCCCTCCCTCTCCCTGCCTACTTTACAAATATTTATGTGTAGAAATTAAAGTTCTACACATAAAACTTCAAACTCCTTCTCATCCACTACGTAATGTGTAAACGACCTCTAAAGTTATAGCCTAAGCGTAATAAATCACTCTACAATGGAACTTCGAAATTTTTTAAAAGGCTCATCCGTTTTAAGCTTTGTAGTCATGTCTTGACATACGTTGCATGCCACTTTTCGCGCCGTCGAAGGCGATTTGTGATACGCAACGACGTATCAAGTCGAACTAGGTTTTTTTTAACTGATAAGAATAGAAACATAAAGTTCATATTGTGTCATTGTCTTTACTCGAGTTACGGTTATTACTACTTTTGGTAGTAATGGGCCAGGTCGCCTCCACAGCGTTGATCAGGGCTCTCTCTCTCGTAGTCACAGACAGATTTATGGCTGACTGCGAAGGCAAAGATCTCATCCAGGAGGGCTTCGTAATTAGCTTGCGTCTTTCTGGGGAGTAAGCCGGATACGAGGGATTTCTCCATTCGTCAGATATGGCCCAAGCATATGAATTTGTTATCGCAACTTGATATGTCTTTATCTGCTGCTTAATACGACTGACTCAGTGGATCACTTCGACATACGTGGCTTGAACCGACCGGAAGGACTTAATGGATCACTTCGCACTTCGAAATATGTGACGTGAACTTACCCGACGAATCACAAATATGACAGGATCCGGTGTCGCACTACAGTACGCTATCTGGACTGTAGTGCGATATGAACTCAAGTGCGAAAGATGGAGGTCTTGTCGAACTTCAGGTTTCGCACCACAGTTATACGTGTCGAACTACAGCACGTTTACCGTAGACTGTTCCTCATCACGTCGAGACCAATGGAATGGATATAATTAGTTGGCGCACAATAATATTAATATGGTGTGTCAACTATAATATTACTAATTATAGTGTCCTATCATAATTATATTATATACTCTGACTAGGTGGTATTAGGACATGATGCGATGAGGGAAAGTATCGACTGCGACTCCGAAAAACAAAGACGTGAAGTTATTAAGAGTTTACGGGAACAAAACCAACAGCTTTTAAGGAGAACCGAGTTTGAGCTAGAATATGAAACAATTGCCCTGACGCACGTGAAATTTGTATCTGATGAGGGCGATAGTAAACTGACCTCAGTTATACTTAATAAACCATATCATTTCCAATTTGTTACTAAACTTTGAACTCATTTTCAATTTCTACGTTTTGAGTACGCCTTGACTTAGAGAGTTGATCAGTACGAGTCGTACTGATCAACTCTCTAAGTCAAGGCGTACTCAAAACGTAGAAATTGAAAATTTCTACGACTAGTAAGTTTTTCGTATAAAAATGTTGACGGGTGTAGGCAGGGAAAGTTATTATGCGACTGATTTAAGCAGTTTGTCAACAGAGCTTAGTTCACCGAAGTACTAATATTAAGGAAATTAGCAAAGTTTTATTATTAATAAAATTGATTTGAAACAAAAATGTTTGCCAAAATTCACGTTACATTTCTGCTGACGTTAGCAAGGTTTTGGCTTCGCTTTGCCAATTTTATATAAGGGGTCAAAGTCTTTTCAATTTTGAAAATATACTTACAGCTGTAATAGGTCTCAAAAAGGGTGCAAAGAGGGAGAATCTGCAATTTTGTTGGACAATTTGCTTAAAAAAGAAGGAATTTTAGCATGAGGAATGTAAATTTGGACTACACTTTGTCTTTAGCAGTAACGCAATTTGGATAATGCAATGGCGAATTGGCCAAATGAGTCTAAAAATGTTGGCCCCTTTCCGCCCCTTGACAAGATTTTGTGAGGGGGCGGTTTTGACCTTGGTATAGAAACATGGACATACATAAGTCCTTATAATGGTGATATGTGGTATAAACAGACCACGTAAACGTGACATTAGTTCCATGTAATGGAACTATAATGATGTGAATACATCTTCATTCTTCACAAATAGGCACTGGAGGCTTTCCGTTCGGTTTCAAACTGTACATTTTCTTTCATTTTTATTTGATTGTTATTCGTATATTAGGATCAATATCAAAATCTTAGAACGCAAACGATTTGCACAGAAGTTTAGCCTCTGATTTAGTACAGACTACAGTGAATAGTGTTCAGTTAAGCTTTTCTGTATGTTTTTTTATGAGTCATTTTTTTCTGACAATAAAGCTATAATATAATAACACATCAATTAACTTCGGTCAAGCCCCCAGTAAACTGCGTGGTCACTGGAAGATCGTCACGAATTTTTGACACAGATTTCATTATTCGTTCGAACGGATTTCATTATTCGTTCGAACGTTTTTACCGACGCCCAAAATCTGACCAATTCATAATTTGATCTCCAGGGTAACAATGGTCACAGCTGGGGTTTCTGTTTTTGTTCTCTGTTTGACATTCATTACGGTAAAGATCCTTAACTACTTCCACTTTTCTCTTAATAAGCTTTATTTTATTTCCTCAATTTCATCAATAGTTACTTCTTAATACCACAATTTAATATGATTGAACTCCAAACTTCTGGATAATTTAAAACAGTATACAGTAAAACCCCGATTTACTGCACCCCGATTCACCGCGGCTTTTTATTTCCCCAAACTCCGCGGTAAATCAGGGTTTAACTGTATTCATTTTCAACGCTAATCTTTAATGGTGTTCTATCACTTTAGTTACAGGCCTTTGAGAAATAATAATAAAAACTTCAATCGAGAATATTCCAGGTGTCACAAACAGGGCCCGCTCTTGAGGCCTGCCAGATCTTAGAGGTCAGTCCCACGGCTGCGGACGGAAAGCTCATTCGAGTCGGATGCGGTGGTAAGTGTTTTCTTTTGGAGCTGTTAGTTTTCTTTTGGAGCTGTTAGTTCTCTTTTTGAGCTGTCAGTTCTCTTTTGGAGCTGTTAGTTCTCTTTTTGAGCTGTCAGTTCTCTTTTGGAGCTGTTAGTTCTCTTTTGGAGCTGTCAGTTCTCTTTTGGAGCTGTTAGTTCTCTTTTTGAGCTGTCTGCAGTTCTCTTTTGGAGCTGTCAGTTCTCTTTTGGAGCTGCTAGTTCTCTTTTGGAGCTGTTAGTTCTCTTTTGGAGCTGTTAGATCATGGTCGTGACCAGTATGAAGTGTGGGCGTAGTTACTTTATTTTCAAAGATAGATCACATGATTTGTCTCAGAATCGTATTTGTAGTCTGGTGGGATTTGTTCGTTTTCTTTACCCTCTATAATTATAGTCCCTGTATAAATTAGGAATAATTGCGAAAGACCATTACTCTTTCATGAAGGGTTCTAACACTGTGACCAACATAACAAAAATTGTAAGGACATACAAAGGTTAGCTATATAAAACAACTGACATCGAAGAAAATGTGGTGTCATATTCCAAACACAAGGAATGTTCAGATTAACTTTAAGACACCGCATAGTCATTAATGGAGCTGAACCTATCCGATTATATAGGATTTTGCTCTGCAGGTGCTGAGGTGCTCCGATTCACGAAAATGGAAAAAGTTTCCAAATTCCATGCGTTAAAATTAATGGGAAGGCACGTAAAAATCTACCAAATGATTTTTCTTCAGAAAAGACTGTTTCAATCGACCTACTGGAGGGAGGATCATATTCCACACTAAAAGTAATCGGCGAACAGGGCAGAAACCTTCTGACAGTGGACTACTTCAAGAACTCGAGGGAAATGTTCCTCGTTATCGAGGGTAAGCCAAATTGCTTTTATTCGATGTAACTAAGTTAGAATCACGCTGGGTTCCCATTTTTTGTTATTGACCAGCTTAATAAAAACAATAAATAAAAAGATTTTTCCATTTCGAACAGAACAGAGACCGTTCTTTTTCAGGAGAACAATTCGATGCAAAAGATGAAAAGAGTAAGGCAAAGGAAGGAGAAAAATTCAAAGAGTTGTTGGACGATCCCGATTTCGAGTAAGTTTCCCCAAGCTTTACTTGGAACAATGGAGATTGGACACCCTCTCGTCAGAAATCTATAAATTAGCTTATTTTTATGATTATAAATCAAATTACATTACCGAGAGGACTGAGAATTCTTCTTGAATGAATAACACCATTAATGAATAAATATTTTGCAGGTTTTTCCCCGAGGCTGTTCGACTTATTCATGACCAGCTTCAGTTGAAAGGTTGGGAATCTCCAGCTGTCATGTTTCTTTACAGAATGGGTATCGCAGCTGAGAACTACCACACCAAAATAGTAAGTTGAGTGGTATCCTCCCAATGCTTAACCACCTATCAATTTATTTTAAATTCTAGTTCTGCTCATACTATGGACTGGAAGACTTTGTTTGACAGTTTGCTCTATCTTCGCGCAAACACTGCGCCACATAACATGATATTATGCCTAGTGCCTACTACTCCAGTAGCAGGGAGGGGTTGGGTGTGCACTTCGATGTATAGAGTTTTTTGCTACTGAATCGGGTTAAATAGGTCATTGGTAACTCAAATCACCGAGGGGCGCATTTTGTATCGCTAGTCCCAGTCCTACAGGGCGAAATTTCTAAATTGCCCTCAGGCGAAAATTTGGGATTTTTGTATCTCGGCTTCTAAAAGACTTAGAGATTTGAACATTGGCTTAAAATAACCGCAATAGCCTTATTTATATACAAGTTATGAAGCAATCTAAGGTCTCAAGTGCCTAGTTTTAAAGATATTCACGAAAAACCGTTTTTTGGCTCATCGCAGCCTGAAATACCGGATTATTTTTTATCTCGAGCTAGAAAGGTCGTAGAAACTTCTCCTATATTGAAAAATATGCGCAATGAGCACATTTATATAAGACTTATGAATCATTATATGCTCTAAAATGCTTATTTGTAGAGATATTAGCAAAAATCAGTCATTTATGGTTACACCGATACAAATTTGGTAATTAATTTTGTCTTTTTGTTGCAAATATTCACGTTGCAATTTTCAAGATGCAGTTTGTTGCTATCGATAGGACTTTATATGCTATTGCATGGTTTTGATACAATCCTTCAGCACCTGACATAGGCAATAGGGGTCACAAACCCTGAAATTTCAGGAACTGGGCAGTGGCCGAGATAAATATTTGATAATTACTTGGACTCTTGACTGACATACATCTTTTCAACGGTTAGTTAGACATCTTAAACCAGTATTGAACGTTGAGTAAAACTTTTGATCCATTTGTAGCTCAGGTGATGTGCCCCAAAACCTCACGCCTGAGTGACAGTGGGCCTTATCGATCATGAGCAGCAAATCACAATGACTTTGGGCCTCAGAGACAAGGGCATTCGTACTCTTGGCTTAAATTGGCTCTTCGTTAGTATCATCGATCAGGTTTCTAACTTCTATATCATCTGCCTGTCCAGTGTCCATCCGTCTCTTTGAGATTCATTATTACTTCAAGTTCAGCCATTTCGCTTCTGTTCAACTGTAGGCGTAATGAGGGACTTCAGTCCAGCAATAAAGTCAATATCTCTAGATTTAGCAATATCTGGTTTCGCTACTTTTAAGGTAATTGTGTTCAGCAAGCAAGTTTGTAAGTTTTCAGTCGTACTGCCCCAAAGTATTGGCCCCCAGGGCACCAGTAATGCTGGAGCACTGGTAATGCACATGGTAATTATGCTAACATAGCTCATTTTTAAGTTCCTTTTTCAGCAGTCTTCCCTATCATACTGGCAATAAAAACAGATTCACCTCCTTTATCTCTAAATATAATCTTGAACCTGAGCTCTACAGGTTATCGAATGTCCATCTTAGCATTTAAAATTTACATTGAGTCATAAATTAGAATTATGTGGGGCACAGAGTCACTGAAGGACAGGTATCGTTGGGCCCGAAGTTCTTCAAGTTTTGGGACCCAAAGTTGCAGGTGCCAGAGGTCCTGGGGCTGACAATAATTGGGGCACGAGGTTGGAGGACATTCGATAACCTGTATAGCCCAGGTTCAAGATTATATTAAAGAGGGGGGGGTGTCACGTCCGTCTATGTCCGCTTGTCTTATAGAATCCAAAAAGGACAGGACATAGGCGGACATAGGCGGACATAGGCGGACATAGGCGGACATAGACGGACATAGGCGGACATAGGCGGACATAGACGGACATAGGGGGACATAGGCGGACATAGGCGGACATTAATGGACACCTAAATTGCTAAATAAAATGTTCAATTTTTGCTGTTATAGGGGGATCATGTTTTTTGTCCGTTCGGTACCCTATATTTTCAAAACGGACAAAAAATAGAGCGGACAAAAATGGACAAAAACGGACAAAAATGGAAATAACATTTAGATGCTTCCTCCTCCTACTCTTCCTCCTCCTCCTGGGTCTTCCTGATCTTCCTCAGTCCTCTTCCTCCTCCCCTCCTCAGTCCTCCTCCTACTCCTCCTCCTCGTCCTCAGTCCTCCTCATCAGTCCTCAACAGTCCTCCTCCTCCCCAGTCCTCCTCCTCCTCCTGAGTCCTCCTCCTGGGTCCTCCTCCTGGGTCCTCCTCCTCCTCTTCCTCCTCAGTCCTCCTCAGTCCTCCTCCTCATCCTTCTCCTCAGTCCTCCATCCTCCTCCTCAGTCCTCTCCCAGTCCCCATCCTCCTCCTATTCAGTCCTCCTCCTCCTCCTCAGTCCTCCTTCTTCTCAGTCCTCCTCAGTCCTCCTCCTCCTCCTCCTCCTGAGTCCTCCTCCTCCTCCTCTTCCCTCTCAGTCATCCTCCTCAGCCATCCTCCTCAGTCCTCCTCCTGAGTCCTCCTCCTCCTGGGTCCTCCTCTTCATCCTTCTCATCAGTCCTCCTCCTCCCCAGTCCTCTCCCAGTCCCCCTCCTTCTCCTCCTCCTATTCAGTCCTCCTCCTTCTCCTCCTCCTCCTCAGTTCTCCTCAGTCCTCCTTCTCATTTCTCCTAAGTCCTCCTCCTGGGTCCTCCTCCTGGGTCCTCCTCCTCCTCTTCCTCCTCAGTCCTCAGTCCTCCTTCTCCTCAGTCCTCCATCCTCCTCCTCAGTCCTCTCCCAGTCCCCATCCTCCTCCTCCTATTCAGTCCTCCTCCTCCTCCTCCTCAGTCCTTCTTCTCAGTCCTCCTCAGTCCTCCTCCTCCTCCTCCTGAGTCCTCCTCCTCCTCCTCCTCCTCCTCTTCCCTCTCAGTCATCCTCCTCAGCCATCCTCCTCAGTCCTCCTCCTCCTGGGTCCTCCTCCTCCTCTTCATCCTCCTCCTCTTCCTCCTCAGTCCTCAGTCCTCCTCCTCCTGGGTCCTCCTCTTCATCCTTCTCATCAGTCCTCCTCCTCCCAAGTCCTCTCCCAGTCCCCCTCCTTCTCCTCCTCCTATTCAGTCCTCCTCCTCCTCCTCCTCCTCCTTCTCATTTCTCCTAAGTCCTCCTCCTGAGTCCTCCTCCTCCTCTTCCTCCTGAGTCCTCCTCCTGAGTCCTCCTCCTCCTCCCTCTCAGTCATCCTCCTCAGTCATCCTCCTCAGCCATCCTCCCCAGCCATCCTCCTCAGCCATCCTCCTCAGTCCTCCTCCTTCTCAGTCCTCCTCAGTCCTCCTCCTCCTCCTCCTCCTGAGTCCTCCTCCTCCTCCTCCTCTTCCCTCTCAGTCATCCTCCTCAGCCATCCTCCTCAGTCCTCCTCCTCCTGGGTCCTCCTCCTCCTCTTCCTCCTCGGTCCTCAGTCCTCCTCCTCTTGGGTCCTCCTCCTGAGTCCTCCTCCCGTCCTCCTCCTCCTCTTCCTCCTGAGTCCTCCTCCAGAGTCCTCCTCCTCCCTCTCAGTCATCCTCCTCAGTCATCCTCCTCAGCCATCCTCCCCAGCCATCCTCCTCATCCATCCTCCTCAGTCCTCCTCCTCCTCCTGGGTTCTCCTCCTGGGTCCTCCTGGGTCTTCCTGATCCTCCCCAGTCCTCTTCCTCCTCCCCTCCTCAGTCCTCCTCCTACTCCTCCTCCTCGTCCTCAGTCCTCCTCATCAGTCCTCAACAGTTCTCCTCCTCCCCAGTCCTCCTCCTCCTCCTGGGGCCTTTTCCTGGGTCCTCCTCCTGGGTCTTCCTCCTCCTGGGTCCTCCTCCTCCTGGGTCCTCCTTCTCCTCCTCAGTCCTTCTCCTCCTCCTCCTCAGTCCTCTTCCTCCTCCTCCTCCCTCTCAGTCATCCTCCTCAGCCATCCTCCTCAGTCCTCCTCTTTCTCAGTCCTCCTCAGTCCTCCTCCTGAGTCCTCCTCCTCCTCAGTTATCCTCCTCCTCCTCCTATGTCCTCCTTCTGGGTCCTCCTCCTCCTCCTCCTCCTGGCTCCTGGGTCTTCCTGATCCTTCTTCTCCCTCTCAGTCATCCTCCTCAGCCATCCTCCTCAGCCATCCTCCTCAGCCATCCTCCTCAGTACTCTTCAGTCCTCAAAATGTTTGTCCGCTAATGTCCACCAATGTCCGCTAATGTCCACCAATGTCCGTCCAAGTCCGCCAATGTCCGTCCGGGTCCGCCAATGTCCGTCCGAGTCCGCCAATGTCCGTCCGAGTCCGCCAATGTCCGTCCGTGTCCGCCAATGTCCCAAAAAACACGTCCGTTGTCTCATAGAATCCAAAAAGGACAGGACATAGGCGGACATAGACGGACATGACACCCCCCCCTAAAGATAAAGGAGGTGAATCTGTTTTTTGCCAGTATGATAGGGAAGACTGCTGAAAAAGGAACTTAAAAATGAGCTATGTTAAGCAAAAAATCAGCATAATTACCATGTGCATTACCAGTGCTCCAGCATTACTGGTGCCCTGGGGGCCAATACTTTGGGGCAGTACGACTGAAAACTTACAAACTTGCTTGCTGAACACAATTACCTTAAAAGTAGCGAAACCAGATATTGCTAAATCTAGAGATATTGACTTTATTGCTGGACTGAAGTCCCTCATTACGCCTACAGTTGAACAGAAGCGAAATGGCTGAACTTGAAGTAATAATGAATCCCAAAGAGACGGATGGACACTGGACAGGCAGATGATATAGAAGTTAGAAACCTGATCGATGATACTAACGAAGAACCAATTTAAGCCAAGAGTACGAATGCCCTTGTCTCTGAGGCCCAAAGTCATTGTGATTTGCTGCTCATGATCGATAAGGCCCACTGTCACTCAGGCGTGAGGTTTTGGGGCACATCACCTGAGCTACAAATGGATCAGAAGTTTTACTCAACGTTCAATACTGGTTTAAGATGTCTAACTAACCGTTGAAAAGATGTATGTGAGTCAAGAGTCCAAGTAATTATCAAATATTTATCTCGGCCACTGCCCAGTTCCTGACATTTCAGGGTTTGTGACCCCTATTGCCTATGTCAGGTGCTGAAGGATTGTATCAAAACCATGCAATAGCATATAAAGCCCTATCGATAGCAACAAACCGCATCTTGAAAATTGCAACGTGAATATTTGCAACAAAAAGACAAAATTAATTACCAAATTTGTATTGGTGTAACCAAAATGACTGATTTTTGCTAATATCTCTACAAATAAGCATTTTAGAGCATATAATGATTCATAAGTCTTATATAAATGTGCTCATTGCGCATATTTTTCAATATAGGAGAAGTTTCTACGACCTTTCTAGCTCGAGATAAAAAATAATCCGGTATTTCAGGCTGCGATGAGCCAAAAAACGGTTTTTCGTGAATATCTTTAAAACTAGGCACTTGAGACCTTAGATTGCTTCATAACTTGTATATAAATAAGGCTATTGCGGTTATTTTAAGCCAATGTTCAAATCTCTAAGTCTTTTAGAAGCCGAGATACAAAAATCCCAAATTTTCGCCTGAGGGCAATTTAGAAATTTCGCCCTGTAGGACTGGGACTAGCGATACAAAATGCGCCCCTCGGTGATTTGAGTTACCAATGACCTATTTAACCCGATTCAGTAGCAAAAAACTCTATACATCGAAGTGCACACTCAACCCCTCCCTGCTACTGGAGTATACCTAATTGAACTTTATTTGAGTGGACTTTGCGTTTGCGGACATTGCACGGACGGTCACATTATTTGGCACTGAGCCCTCCAGCGCCCACGTGTGATATCCCACCAAACAAACTCCGGCAAGGTGTGCATTATACAAACATGTAAAGTTAGCGCAGATAAATTACATTGTTAACGTAGTTAACGTAGTTAACATCCCCAAGAACAAAAAAGGTGATACGGTGCTCAAGAAAAGACTTTTTGGTTGGGGAAAAGAACAAATTGCAGTTGACCCCAACACATATAAGTATCACGGCAGTAATCCAACTAAGAAGTGCACGTAAGTCAAATTATATCTTTCCTCACAATGGTTAAAAATCTGAAGAATTCCAATAATTAGGGAGTTTGCAAAGACCTGCTATTATTAGCTATTAGCAAAAGAGTTGTTTTACTTTTACTAAAACTTTTGGAATTGGTTTACTGTACAGGGTGCACATATCTGTTTTAGTATTATTCGTTACCACCTGAAAATATAATTTACCCGTCTTAATCGATTAATCATTTAGTTAATCTAATTAACTAATTAACTTTTAATTAATTTCAGATATAACGGATGGTCGGACCCAAGCATGGACAATCTCATAAGTAACGAGTGTAGAGGTGTCTGCGGACAGGTAATCGGTTCTTCACATTGCATAATCAACATATCAACATTCAACATATTAACATCTAACATAATATGTTCAATATATCAAAATTTATTTAACATATCTTCATTTTTTTATTATAACTATGGGCACGATGCATAAGTAAACAATTTTAAATTCTAAAATATCAAACTACGGCAAAGGTTCGATCATATTCATAAGTAACAAAAATGTCACGTAATACTAATCTCTTTATCATTATCACGTGATTACTCATTATCGTTACGTTTAAAAAGATCTCATTATTCATTTCATTTTAAAAGATCGCACAAATTCAGTCAGATTAGTCAAATGTCTTCAAAATGAAGTCATTTATTTAAACACAAACTAGAAGGTCATGAGTGTAGTTATTCACTTTTTCAAAATATGAAATAAAACTAAACTAAGTAAAATTAAATACAATTCTGGACGATCACTGATTCGATATAAAATAAACATTTGTACCCTGCAAAACCGTCTACGACAAGATAGTAAAAGAAACAGCCTCTATTAAGACAGTAAACTAAGTTAATACTAATAAAATTAAATTGTAGTCGAATAAAAATTTGATACACATTATCTTAATCAGAGAGAAATCTTATCATACATTTTTCTAATAAACTTAATAAATTTAAGGATCAAGCAACTTAAAGAAATGTTTAAAAAGCAACATTTATTCTAATCATACCACCGTCATTCCTTGAGGCTAGAACAAAGTAGGTTAATTATCATCATTTACTAAATCTTACTATATATAAAGCGAGACGATATATATATATATATATATCTGTGCCATTTTACTGACACCACGGCATCAACTTTAACGCAACTTTCCGCAAAAACCGTAAAAGATATACAACTGAAACTTTTTTGACTGGGTTAAATGCTTTAATGGCCTTCAAATCAGCATGAAAAAATAAAAAATTGGCCAAGGAATAATAATTTTAGTGCCCAAAATTTGGACTCCCAAGTGGTGTCAAAAACGCGAATTAAATAGGTAATAATTATTTTAGTCTCTCGAGTCTTGACACCACTTTAGGGTTAGACGGGTTCCTGCTAGTAGTAATAATAAACATACCGTGCTCTTACATCAAGGAAGCATAATATATTTGAAATAATTAATTTAATTGAGATAATTAATATAATTGATATAATATCAAGGTATGTTCTGCATGTTGGTTGTGGGTATGTGGAGACTGCTGCATGCACACAGGCTGCAAACGACACGACGACTTCTGCTCCAATTACTTCTCGTCGTATGTTATTATCAATTACTTACTCAAACTTAATGGCGTGATTTTATTCGAAATTTAATTTTACCCCTTCTTTGATACTTCTTTGAGGCCAGCAAAACTTTAACCTGATAAATTTGTCATATTTGATGTCACCAAAGCTCTAAAACATGTACGACAAACAAATTAATTAATTCTTCTCATCAACAATTTGAATTATTAAATATTAATTACAAAATTTGATTATTTCTTTTTCAGGGACTGTTTAACTGCTCGAGGAGTGCTTTGGGATACCATAACGGACACTCCTATGGATTGCTAGATCAATTTCACTCATCTTTGACGAATCAGATGGCGGATGATTAGATTCTCGCCGATTAATTCGATCACCATCAAATAGTTTTTAAACCCATATGTTATTAGTGAACAGTTGTTTAGATAGTGTTAGATTTTATCCTAGGGTAATCTCAAATGCCAGACCTACGATATACAATTTTAAACCTTTAAAGTTCAGCAATTTCAATCATATTTATTTTTATGCTTAATAAATTAGATATTTATTTATTGAATCATTACGTCTTGTCAAATACAATTTAACTTCATTATCTTTATCATCTTTCCAGCAACTCAATTGTTTTAATATCTCAAACTAAATGAACCGGTAACAACACAATAATCAAACAGCAAGTGTTGTTGACACTAGGATATCTGCAGATATCAGTGTGATAAACTTTAAAGGTCCTGATAAGTGACGAGGTCTAGCTGATTTCTGGGTTGTTAACACTTTAACAGAGATATCGATCTCAGCAGCTCCAGAATGCTCTATATTAATAACGGTTTGGCGGCAAAAATCTGCAACATTCAATTCCTCTCAGCATTTGCTCGGCAGGAATATTAACTTATCAAAAGTCAAATTACAATGGTAATTTCTGACCCAATATAAAAATTAAGTTTACCCAAAAGTCAAAAAGTATATATTGTACACAAAAAAGTAAGATTAAAATTGGAAAATAAGATTAAAATTAAAATAAAGATTAAAATTGGAAACTTTTTATGATAGGGAGCAAAAAATTACCAGATCAGAGGGCTGAAACAGCAGAAAGAGCAAAAATGCCCAATATATATAATAAGGCCATTATATATAATAAGGCTTGTATGGAACAATGTGGGGATAAGCTGAGACAAAACATCATAACAGCTCCTCATCCCACGGAGGAGGACGACGATCAAGTTTCTTTTACTGACATCTGAACCATCTTCTCTCCAGTGCTTTATTTCTGGACCTCCGGCCAATAATTTATAAACTTTTGCGGCCCTCAAAGACCAAAAGTTAACGATTTAGGAAATACTTAATATACAATTCAAAATAAAATCCAACATAATCATAGTGCATATTACTATAGATCTACACCTTGAACTGGTCTATGATGTCATGATGATTGATCAACTAAAAAAATAAGGCGGCGTACAAAATTGCAGCATGTGTAGATTACCGCCCAAGATCTAGTATTTGTAGGATACATTTTAAACCCGAATTGCATGAGGCTAATCTGACTGTATGAAATGTTATGTAATTCTATTAAACCATGTATAGTGACCGTCACCCACCTCAAAACGTGCTCACCTCAAAACGTGCTCACCTCAAAACGTGCTCACCTCAAAACGTGTTCACCTCAAAACTTGCTCACCTCAAAACTTGCTCACCTTAAAACTTGCTCACCTCAAAACTTGCTCACCTCAAAACTTGCTCACCTCAAAACTTGCTCACCTTAAAACTTGCTCACCTCAAAACGTGCTCACCTCAAAACTTGCTCACCTCAAAACTTGCTCACCTTAAAACGTGCTCACCTCAAAACTTGCTCACCTCAAAACTTGCTCACCTTAAAACTTGCTCACTTCAAAACGTGTTCACCTCAAAACTTGCTCACCTTAAAACTTGCTCACCTCAAAATGTGCTCACCTAAAAACTTGCTCACCTCAAAACTTGCTCACCTAAAAACTTGCTCACCTTAAACTCCTGTTGTGTTGTATTCAGTCCTAATTCTAACTGCATAATACGAAGGATTGTGTCTCGTTCTTCAATTAAATGCACTAATTACTAATGGAGTTGTGGGTATTCATAGGGTTTGAGCTAAGATTAAGGTTGGAGTTTAGGGAATAAAAATACTTAACGAAAAAAATAAATAAACAAATACTGGGACTGAACGACATAAACCATATCATTAGAACCACATCACCACAAACTAGTACTCAGGGTCATCCGATCATCCAATAACCGCTTTTTCAAGAGTTTTAATTGTGGTACAAAGTATTTCAAACTTTTAAATTCAAAATATATCAAGACTTGACCAAAATTCAATATACGTCTGCTAAAACCGCATCGCCTCTACTTAATTGTGAATATGACTTTAAAATAGCACAAATTTAAAAATATTTCCCTCAGGTGTGCACCTCGTGCTGGGAATGGGTATGTAACGACTGCTGTCTGCACAACGGGTGTTACAGACACGATCTTTTCTGTGACATCGGTGGATACATGGGACCGTGAGTTCTGCTTTGATTATTTCTTTTTGGTTTTTAAAACCATTAATAAAATTTTATTAATTGATTGCAATCATGTCAGGCTTAAGGTTTGAGTTGAATTATCGGCTAAAAATAAATTGTTATGTAGGATGGGGATATCATTTTGTAAATTTGATTGAAAATTATAACCGAAGTTTCAAAAAAACATCTCGGCTCTTTTTCATTATTGCACAACTTCAGAGATTGTCTGTCCTGTAGAGGTGTGCTGTGGGATATGCAGACGGAAATGCCATACGACTGCTAGATCATTCACTGTGACACTTTGGCACTAGTGTGACACTGTGACACTGTGACACTGTGACACTGTCACACTGTGACACTAGTGTGACACTGTCACACTGTCACACTGTCACACTGTCACACTGTCACACTGTCACACTGTCACACTGTCACACTGTCACACTGTCACACTGTGACACTGTGACACTGTGACACTGTGACACTGTGACACTGTGACACTGTCACACTGTCACACTGTGGCACTGTCACACTGTGACACTGTGACACTGTGACACTGTGACACTTATATTTGAATCTGATCGGTTTATTGCTGTCACATGTCCACCACAGAATCCAAATGTATACTTCACGTTTAGACTGCGAATGTTTTTTAATTTTCAATTAAAGAAAGGGATTTAGATTATTATTGTCAGCAAAAATGTAAGGAGTTAAGAATCAACCCCATTGGTTTAAAAACCATTAATAAATGTTTACTAATTGATTGCAATTGTCAGGTTTAAGGTTTGAGTTGAATTATCGGCTTAAAATAAATTGTTATGTAGGATGGGGATATCATTTTGTAAATTTGATTGATAATTATAACCGGAGTTTCACAAAAACATCTTGCATCTTTTACATTATTCCTCAACTTCAGAGATTGTCTATCCTGTAGAGGTGTGTTGTGGGATAGGCAGACGGGAATGCCGCACGACTGCTGATCATTCACTGAAACAATTCAAAATATATTTATTCATTTTTAGAGATAAAGGGTTGGTTTTATTTGTTTTTTTGCATATCGGAGTTCCAATTTGCCTGACAACCCTCATTATTCTCATAAAAAACGAGAAAACTGATCTGTTGTAGTTGTCCAAAAGGCATCAATGCTGACATCATTACTCAAATCTATTAGTTATACATTGCATTTACAGAGGAACAGACCATTTTACGTTAAAGAACGTGTTTAAAGCTTCTACAAGCTATTTAATTGAAGGAGAAGGAAACATAAATCAAATAAATTGTGAGCCATCAGTGTAAATTACTTTGTAAACTTTGGCATAACAATGACTGTAAGAGTGCAGTTAGATTACTCATGTTATAAGGCAATATTTTGGCCAATTTCTCGTGTGTTTCAACAATATCCAAAATTTGGACTAAAAAAGTTTAATTTGAACAACAGTATACAATGAAATGTAAGCGTAGCAGTAAGTCATGATAACTACAAAATCGTATATTGCACTCGTATGTTTGGTATGAGGATTCTATCGGTTAAATTTATAACTTTTAATTTATCTTTACACAGGTTCTGAATAATTAAAATAGACATTTTTTCGTTAGGAAGGACTTACATCACAGCAAGTTCTCTTGTCCATCCCATTTTTAACATATCTCTACAGCTGTTATCATACTCGCGGTAGATATTCGAAAAATATGATTTATTCTGAATGTATCACCTCACAGCTTTCACAGAGAATTGCTCTCTGTAATGTCGGAGGAGGAAGAGCTGTTCTTTCAAATCAATAAAGTTCCTGATGAAGATTCAAAGGGCTCCAGGGTTTGAAATCTAACAAAGCTTTCCGTACCGTTACATAATTTATTTAGGGGGAGAATAGCTTCCCCTATTTAGAATGTCCTCTGTCTTTGTCAATCATTTTCGCCACCCGAATTGTTATAAATCGAGATAGTTATAAACTGAATAATAATATTTACAGGTGTTTGTAAAGAGTGATGGAACACGGTTTACTGATGGTCGAACATTGAAGCTTGAAGTGAACACTTCATACGTGATACACATAGAGGTTAGATGTAAGTTGGTGACAAAAACGGAGTTACTAAGTTGGTTACTCAATAAGTTACTGAGTTGGTTACTCAGCAAGTTACTAAGTAGGTTACTCAGTAAATTACTAAGTTGGTTACTCATTGAGTTACTAAGTTGTTTACTCTGTAAGTTACTTAGTTCGTTACTCAGCGAGTTACTAAGTAGGTTACTCAGTAAATTACTAAGTTGGTTATTCAGTGAGTTACTAAGTTACTTAGTAAATTACTAAGTTGGTTACTCAGTAAGTTACTAAGTTGGTTACTCAGTGAGTTACTAAGTTCGTTACTCAGTGAGTTACTAAGTTGGTTACTCAGTGAGTTACTAAGTTGGTTACTCAGTGAGTTACACGGGCACCTACATTCACGCTTTTCATTTAAATGTTGTTTAAGTACGAACATCCTTCAGCTTAGTACTTCAGTAACATTAATAGTTACAAATAAATTACAACATGCTTATCAGATAGCTAATGGTTTGTACTTATCATTGTTACCACCCTTGCACCCTTATAGGTTGGTCAGAGGTCGAGAACGTTGACTACCCTGCTCGTTAACTCAATACCATTATCAGTGCTTGATGTCGGGGAGAATATTAAAAGTAACGTAAGTTTTATATTATGTATTATATTATCTGACTAATCTTGGGATCACCTTTGATTCGAGAATAAACTCCTACAAATTATTTAAATTTAGGTCATCAATGGTTTCGAGTTTTTAAGACGTTTCGTGGCACCCAGAAAGTTAGCAATAAAAGTTTCGGCACTTTTTGCAAAAATCGGAAACTTTGATGGTCCGAGTTTCATTTCGTCCAGAGTATAACGCTTTTGAAACAACACCATGATATAGTGTCAATTATATAATTATATGTTTCCAGACCCACCCCCCCCCCCCCCCCCCCCCCCCCCCCACCAACTGAACACTGGTTATAACATTTATTCTGAAACCTTTTTTCTTCGCAGAGTAACGTTTACAAAGCTATATTTGACACGAACACGGTGCGACTTACTCAGAATTCGGAACGAGACACTTTAATAATCTGTGCTCACCTAGAGGGAGTTGGTGCTCTCATGGTGCCAATCCAGACTAAATACTATTCGTAGGTTACAGTTTATTTAGACAAACTTGAAACTGTTTTTTAGATTGTGTATAACTGAGGATTTGTGGTTGATAATCGAAAAATATGTTGGACATCGTTTTTTGAATTCCAAATAAATCCTAAACAAATTGGCATCCAAATTTGTTTTTACAATCGTAATCGGGCATTACCTCAGAAAAGAGTTGTCAAAGAAAGTACGCATGGGTATCCCCCTGGACAGCATTCTTGTACAATACCGCTCTGGGACTTCACGGAACGGTGCAAAAACATTTCAGGTTAAAATCTTTGACAATTCACTGTAAAATTAAGCAAAGATAAACGATTAATGTTTGTTAAAAATCACATGAACGATTGATGTTTATTTTATATTATGCTTATCTTGCTAACACCTTCTACCCCAGCTAAAGAAGGCGGTCCTCTTGACAGTAACAAGACAACAAGATGAAAAACAAAATCTTCCGTCAAGACATCCTGAGAAAAACTTAGGATTGTTATAGGAAGAAGTGACTGGGAACATGTGTAGAAATAATATATTGGGAACATTTGTAGGAAAAGGTTTTTGGGAACATGTGTAGAACTAATATATTGGGAACATGTGTTGGAAAAGGTTTTTGGGAACATGTGTAGAAATGATATATTGGGAACATGTGTTGGAAAAAGTTTTTGGGAACATGTGTAGGAAGAAGTTATTGGGAACATGTGTAGGAAGAAGTGACTGGGAACATGCGTAGAAATAATATACTGGGAACATGTGTAGGAAAAGGTTTTTTGGAACATGTGTAGAAATAATATATTGGGAACATGTGTTGGAAGAAGTTATTTGGAACATGTGTTGAAAGAAGTTATTGGGAACATGTGCTGGAAGAATTTTTTGGAACATGTGTAGGAAGAATTTATTGGGAACATTTGTAGGAAGAAGTTATTGGGAACATGTGTAGGAAGAAGTTATTGGGAACATGTGTAGGAAGAAGGTATTGGGAACATATGAAGAAAGAAGTTATCGGGAACATTTGTAGGAAGAAGTTATTGGGAACATGTGTAGGAAGAAGTTATTGGGAACATGTGTAGGAAGAAGTTATTGGGAACATGTGTAGGAAGAAGGTATTGGGAACATGTGAAGGAAGAAGTTATTGGGAACATTTGTAGGAAGAAGTTATTGGGAACATGTGTAGGATGTTCAGCTAAATAAAAATCTATTTATACCATTTGGAATGAGTATAGTTTATACTGATTACTGTATAAATCTGATTTTGCTGCTAAGACTTCCTTTTATGATTGCTCGAAGCAATGTTTCATTTTTTCACAAAGTTAAAAGACTCAAATCGCTGAGACTGAAAAAAATAAAATTGACATTTTTCAACTATTCACATATCGGTAACAATGCTATTTAAAAAAAGTATAAAACAACATTAAAATGATTCTAAATCAAAATAACTTATTAAAAAATCACTTACTGCAACTAAAAACTGAGATCTACAAACTATTATTACTACATTCTAAAAGGTTGTACCCAAATTACAAAAAACACAAATCTACATTTTTTCTTAGTTTCTGAAATTAAATTAATCAAAATATTGTGATCAAAAAATCGTAATCACCCGATCAATATTAAAATTCCCATTCATTGTCATTTGATGTTAACGCTCACTCGCACGTAATTAAACGGTCTCTGGCTAGTACCATCCATCATCAATCTTTTGTCATCTGTTAACTAATTACTTAATCGAAAGCTAATTAATCATTTAATCAATAACTGTGAAGTCCTTGTCGGCTCAAACGAGCTGTGGCACGTGTGGATAGGAGTTTTGAGCGATGTCCAGGTCGTTTGCGGCGTTGTTTTCGTAGGTTTCGCCCTGTTCGACTGCTGGAACTGGAGTTATGTTGTCGTTCTTGTCTCTGAAATATAATGCGTAAAGATAAAACCTATCTCGTGATTGGTAAGATGAACAAAAATGGATCACATCAGCAATTCAATAGGCGTTAGAGTTAAACAAATTAAAACTTACATTTTATCCGATATCAGAAAGAAAAAAAGATGTCTTTGTGGATAAGATCTCACATCGAATATTTAGGCATAAGTATTAAGTGTTTTTAAGAGCAATTACAGAATATTATCGAATGATTACTAAGTACTGACCCGTGTTGGGTAAAGGAAGTAGCTTCGTACATGTGCTTGCTGCTCACACTACCACGACTTATCGTGTCGTCTTTCACGGCTGGAGCCTCCTCGTCACTGCGGGGGGAGGATATTAGAATTATACGACTGTGAGTAAATTCAGAGCAGTTATTTATGTAACAAGGGCAGTGCCAACAGTGAATAATGTGCTTTTATTCTCAAATATTGATTGATTGTGGTGGAAAAGAGATCGTCCAGGTCTTATCATAGTGAAGAGTAATTTTGATCAGATAACAGTTTATTAAACAGATTGATTGGTCTAAGTTTCTAGAGATCAGATCTATAGAATAGAATCACGGAACAGCAGGGTGTTTGATCACATTGTGCAGGGTGTTTGATCACATTGTGCAAGGTGTTTGATCACATTGTGCAAGGTGTTTGATCACATTGTGACGTACAGCCCTAATCGCTTACACAGAGTATAATAGTTCTAACGCGCGTCTCTGAGAGAAACTCTCTATTTGAAGTACCCTGAAAATTGGGGGACTGTATTGTAGCTACAATCATATCCTGCATTATGTATCTTGCTATTGGATTTAATACACCTAAACTCTGTTGCTACGATGGCTTATGACTTATTCAAATAGTGGCTTATCGAGATTCTTGTCAGTGCGCTTCCTTTGTCAAGTAACACTGCCTACACGCCAATAGACAAAAGCAGTCAGTGAATAATGTATATTGTCTATACTTGGCATGCCTCGAACTATTGAATACACTGCTGAGGTGTGCTCCACACACCACAGATATCAAGTTCTTACCACTGATCCCCAGAGGGTTTAACAAGTTGAACTTTAATTATTATATTTAATTATTATGTTTGGGTTCTTACACTTTGCTGTAAATGTTTTCCTCAGACTGGCGGTTCTCTTCCTCCTGAGCTGGGTCGTTATACTCCGGGTTCTTGACATGCACGATGTCGCTCTTCTCCTCCTGAACAGTAAGGGTGTTAGCAGGGAATTATTGGAAATCATCTAAATTACATCGAAACCTCGTGAAGCTAAAGTATTCCCAAAAAAATTCCCAAAATTCCCAAAAAAATGACATTATTGAATATCAGACTTGTCAGCTTGATTTTAAACTTTAAAAAGTGCTGAAATCTTGAAAAGTAAAACTAAAATCCAAACCTTTTTGACAGCAGCAGTTGTTGGCTTGACGCTGCTGATTTCTGAGGCGGCAGACTTGCTGGCCTTGCTAGACTTGGGAGCCAAGAGAACTTGTGGGGGTTCCTTTCCGAACAGCGAGAACAGATTGGTCAGCACATCCTCCTGGAAGATGACGAAACAGATGAACATGGTAGGTCCTTGTGATGCGGTCACGATGATGAAGACCCACTGGAAGATCTGGGCCATGGCTGGAGGTCCGGCCATGAGGAGAGCAACCAGCCAGGGTAGGCAAACAGTTGTGGCAATGGACATGATTGCTTTTATCTCGCGCTGAAAAGTCGGGAGGTGTCAACAACTAGCATCAAAATTCAAAGTGATTTAAAGACAAAAATGAATGTTTTAAAAGCTGTTCTTATATTCATGGACTGAGAAAAACATCCATAAATTAATGCAATGAGCGATTTCATTCATTTATTTTACTTTAATTAACAATTTAGTTTCAATGAACTCACAGCATGGCTAGTGTTAGAACCGCTCTTCCCGGCTCTGATGATGATTCTGGCGATCATGACGAAGAGGATGACGTTTATTCCCAGACAGAGATAGACAGGGATGATGAAGCCGACCCACTTCCACGGGCTGGCAACCCAGCACGTCTCCGTCTTGTCATCGTCCAGTTCTCCTAGTGTTAATTATACCCGTTATTTTGTGTTAAACTCAATTATCTTATGTCAATTTCGACAGAAATACGAGACAATATATATTCAGAATGTCAGGTTCCTTTTTAGTTGCTCCATACGAAGGCACTAATCAATTTATTTTAAATAATATTAATTATATATAGTATAATTAAAAGGAACTAACCAGTGGCAGTGACATAGGGCAGGTTGGCGTCCAGGGAGATGGAAGTAATGTAGGCAGCCAGAACCATGAACAAGGGCGCTGACCAGCATCCTGCCAGACACTTCACAAAGTAGTGTTTGTCCTGCTTTCCGAACGACTTCAGGGCATTCACGATCTGAGAGACAGTTTTTTAACTTCGAAACATTGCAAAATTGGAAATTGTCAGCCAGATATTCATCTTTTACAGGTTCATTTCAGTATTTACTATTTATCTTTTTAAATCATACAATCAAAATGTCCACCTTTTCGTAGAGAGTAACGGAAGCACAAACGGACCAAGCTACCGCTACCAGGAACAGATACTGCACAATTATGACACCCGGAACACAGGCCTTGTTGGAGGCGTTTGTTGTCCCCAGGATAAGGAAGGAGATGTGTCCGACGAAGAGGGCGATGCACAGTTGGGTCTGAAGGGTTTGTGCAGTTTTAGAGATCGGTATGTTACTATTAGAGAATGTCAGTGCTTAATAACTATTGCGTGAATTGCAGTAATTGCGTTAGGTAAGTATTAAGATTTGTGAAATTTCTGTACTCGATGACGCAATGATATTAATTGCGTAAATATTTATTCATACTTGTAATTATTTAATATTCAATTTAACTTAAAATTTACCTGGATTTGAATGAGACGTCTGGCCTGGAACTGCTTGAAGGGAGCGATGCACAGGAAGGTTAAGCCGAGGAAAACGAGGTTTATCACGTTCAGCACTGAAGAAACTGTCGATTGGACTGTATCTGCTATTTCAGCTGAACTCTGAAAAGTATTTGGTTAAGAAAACCGAAAGTTACATATTTTACAAAAGTGCTGTATTTTCGATGCTTGCATAAATACAGAAAAGTTTTCATTCCATCTCGATTCCTAATTCTCCTCATTTGATTGAATTAAAAGTTAGCCCTCTCACCAGGATAATAGCAAAACTGGTGTTATGCTGACAGGCACAGAGATAATGCTTCTCATCTCCGCTGATAGTTTCTCCTTCTTTTGTCTCGCATCCTTTCGTGCTCCATTCCTTTGCAGTTTCATTGTAGAACTTACAGGTTCTGATTCGTTCAACGTTCCTGGGATGTTAGTGTTATTATGGGGTTTTCAAACCTATTTCATGGAGAGATTTTATTAAGTTAATATTATCAAGTTGAGCATGTGGGATTTGATGTTTATTGTTTAGAAAGCTGATAAACATTTAGACATTAGAACTGGAAAGATTTGTATTTACCTTGAAGATTGTTCGACGTCTTTTGATGTGTCAACAGCTATTTCTATTTCTATATCTAGTTCAGTAGTACCAGCAAACTGAAATAAAGGATACATTAAGTGCACATGTAACATCTCACTAGTAGAGTATGAAGGGTAAAGAACAAATATCATTTTATAAAAGTCAAATATGAATCTAACTATTAAAAGTCAAAATTTACTTACTTCCAATGAGACGATGGATGAATCGATGGCGTAGGTGATGTTCTTTGATTTTGTCGATCCTCCATCAGAGTTGGTCTCTTCATCTGAAGGAGTAGATGGCATCGGGAAGATAGCTGCGGCAGTCTTTTTGTTGAATACGGCAACCGTTGGAGCAACTGTCAGTCCATCTGCCTTTGGTGTGCCTTTCATCTTTAGTGTGGGAGCAGATACGGTGTCATTTTTTGGTTTTGGAAGAGTGAGTGGAGTTTCTGAGTCCATGTCCGCAACGGAGAACTTTTGCATTCCGATAGAATCAGTTTGACGGGAACTGACTCTTTAAGCTGCTTAGCGATGGTGGTGACGCAACCCCGCATTTCTGTTTTCTCTGTTTCGGAGACAGAGGCCATCTTTTCTTCCCCAGCTCCAGCAACAGAGCCAATCGTGGAGGCCAACCCTGATGCCTGAAAGATGTTTTCACTTAAATGATCAGGATTTTCTAAAATCTAAGTTCAATATAATTATAATGCATCCTGTTTCAAAGAAAAAATAAAACAAAGCGAGTTCTTTTACCTAATTTTTTGTTTAATGGTCTATTAAAACATTTATTAAACATTTATTAAAAATATATTTACTTTTGAACATTCATTTAAATATTATTTGAAATTTTTTTACCTCCTCTTCGTCCACTTCGACGCCTTGTTCTGCAAGGTTATCGGTAAAGGTGCTCAAACTTGTAGCGATGTTGGACAGATCTTTGGGAGCCATCGCATTAGCATTAGTTGCTAAGTCTTGCATGCCCTTCACAGCTGCCTTCGTCGCTGATGGATCCTGAAAAGTGACTTGTAGACAAAAAGTTTGATAAAAGTTCAGTACACAAATTACTCTCACAAGACGGAACTCGACTACACAGAACGGTATACAAATAATAATTACATAATAATTACATGATAATTACATAATAATTACATAATAATTACCTTTACATTAACATCATTCATCTTGTTGACTTTATCTTTGACGTCCTCCGTGAACTTGCTGCTGCACGCTGAGGAGTCTGCACTGGCCCACTCCACCTCCTTAGTCAGAGCATTATACCGGCAGTATCTCGTTATCATCTCGCCGTCCGCTCCCTCATTTGATTCGTCGCATTTAACGCTCGCCGTGCCACCAGCACTGGTATCCGGGAAGGTGAAGTTGCCTGATCCAATGCCTTCCAGCTCTATCTTGTTCCCCTTGCAGCTTATTGCTGCGAAATATGAAGCAATGTCAATTGAGAAACAAAATATGTGAAATTAGTTTTATAGCTGAAAGTGTGTAGCTAACTACTTATAAAACTTTGATTTGATGGCTGTCAACTTTTCATTGTTTAACAGTAACTTTTCATTGTTTAACAGTAACTTAAGAAACTTACTTCCGCAATTGCCAGCACTGTCGAGGTTGAACTGACAGACGTTGCAGTAGGTAGAGCCGGTACTGTCCGTATACTCCCCCTTACCAGACTCACACTTGCTGCACTTACTAGCTCCTCCAGTCGAATAAGAGTTCTTCTCGCACGGTACTTCGTCCTCTGAGGTGTGATTATTATTATTGATATTGTTAATTGTTACCTTAATGCATTACTACAGAGGACTTACAAATCATGGGTTTTCATATAAAATAAAAGCATTTTTTTAACAAATGGGCTGACCAAATATTAGGTCGATAGGTTTATACTTTATAAATATCCATACCTGTATTGCTCTCCAGATTTAGCTGGTGCCCAGGTGTGGTGGTCTTACAGTAGGTTGAACCCTCTTGTGTTTGAAACTCTCCTCTTTGGACGTCACATAGGATACACTCCTCCTGACCGCCAACAGGTTGTTTTTTTCCCTTTGGACATAGCTTGCACGTGGATACACTGTCTGGAAGTTTTCTTCGATTAGTTTTTTAAAGTTTCATTTTACTTAAGAAGACAAATTGCTATTGGAAATATATGAATAGTTGAACGCTCAGAGTTAATTACCTTTGAATCTTCCGGGAGGACAGAGATTACAGGTTGCACTGCCAGCTTCGGAAACTTCTCCTTTTTCACACGTGACACAGTTGCCTTCATAATACTTCGTTCCTGCTTCACACACTTCACAGCTGTCTTGTTCGTTAGAAATTTCCCTGAAGTATTGTTGACTTATTAGTAAGTGCCTGTAGTAAAATCATTATCAAGACCTCAACAGTTGGTCAGACAACCATACATGAATATTAGATATAGATGGTCAAATGTCAACAAAAATTCCCGCCTCAACATGTTTAATTTCGGACAAATTAATGAATTATACATTTTCAATAGGCATGATATTTCCTGAACCCACAAGTGAATGAAAATGTGTGTTATTACTAACCCTTGACACGTAAGGCAGAATGTTGAGCCCTCAAAAGCCGAGTAAGAGCCACTTCCACATTGATCACATTCTCCGCCGTTACTGTTGAACTTGCCTTTTGGACACTTCGTGCATATTCCCCCAGCAACAGAGGTAGTTCCGGCAGGACAATCAGAGCACTCAGATGAGCCCGGAACAGAATATTTACCAGCATCACAAGTCTCACAAGCAGTCCGATCTTCGTTAGATTTCTCTCCTGCTCCACAGGGAGTGCAAATTATCTTCGCACCCTCTGTCGGGATAGTTCCGGAAGGACACAGAGTGCAGGTTTTGGAGCCTGGGACAGTAGAGTATTCTCCTGCAGGACACGCGTCACACTTGGTCTGCCCTGAATTAACTTGGTGCTCTCCAGCAGGACAGGGCTCGCAGGTGGTACCGACGAGAATTGTTCCGGCATCACATGCAATGCATCTGGTGTCTGAGGTGGATTTGAACTGAAAAAAAAATGAGTTTATTGATTTGAAATACACTTAGATTTTCATATGTTAATCAGTTTTCAAAATAACTCCTCCGATACACGTAAAATGTCATTTAATACAAATATTTGGAAACATAGTTAGAAAGGATCTCAACAAGTTTTACTTACTCCTGATCCACAAGTTTTACAACCATTTTTAGTATCATTTGGTTCCTCTCCTGATGGGCACATCCGGCAATTTCCAAACTGTGACATAGTTAGAGCCCTATATCCGTTGTTACTGCTGCAATCTACACATCCCTGTAACTGTTCGAATTGTCCCGCACCACACACCGCTGAAACAATTCGTTTCAAAATCTCGACGCTTGCATATAGTCATGCATAATTTAAATTAACATATAACCATATACGATTAGCACATAATGAGAGCCCGATATCATTCCATGGCGAGATTATCATTCCATGTCACTTAATTTTAGCAACACACAATTCACTAGTTGTGACAATATATCAAATCTGGCTTTTAACTTTTTAGAACATACTGCTGATACTCTGAAAAGATAAAACCTGCTATATACAGATATAAATAACTTACCAGTGACTGTTAAGGTAGTGTCTTTAGGTAATTCATAAGTGACTACTCCGCCATCAGTAACCTCGCTGTCCTTAAACCGTAGATCACAAACCAGTTTCAAATCTTTACCCGTAATTGTGAGCGTCTGGATCTGAATAAAGTCAGTCTGTGAGTGACCATAGCCTTTTACTAAAGACCAATTATCGTGTAACACATATCGTATGTAACTGTAAGTGCAATTAAAAAGCTCAAAATAAACAAATTAGCATTTGGAAGTTAAGTGTAAATTCATCTTTCTGTTCCAGTTCATTCAACTTACTGTGCATTTTGAAGAAATGAAAACCCCAGTGCCTGCATCTACATTGTTCTGTTTTAGTTTACAGTTGGAGACTGCAGGTTGCAGAGCATAGGCGTCATCTCCGTAGACTGATACTTCTAACTCGTCATCCGTAGTCATCTTTTGGTATTCGTCTAGGTTGTCATTCCGATATTTTACACCTGTAGAATTATGTAATCAATCATCTCTTCTAAGATGTCCTTAACGATCCATCATGTTTAAACACTAGTAATATTCTTTTTTAAGTAATTTAAAAGAAATTATTAAAGTAATTTCCTACATGCATCTTAGTTTTAACCAGCCATTTAATTGACATCCACATTAATCATTTCATAATAACGCGCTGATAAAAAAAGAGATTGTTTTAGCTGCGAAACTTACGTATTTTCTGGACATAGATCAGTTTGGTGTCGGTTGCTTTCTCGTCTTCGTTTTCCCCGACTTCAACGGAGCAACGGTAGGCGACAGTAGAGGTAAGCACAGTGTCATCCAGAGTGGCAGTCATCGAAACACCATCCGTACTTTCAGTAACGGATGCAATTCCTGCTGCTTTGCCGATGCAGCTGAATCCGTCATCCGGATCCGTCTTGCAAATAGTCTTTTCAGTGGAATCGTTAACTTTTTCGAGAGTGAGTTCGACTGTCTGAGTTATCCATTCTCCGGGACTAGTCAGGCCGCAGGATATCTTTTTATCAGCTGCGTTGCTCTCGAGAAAGACGGTTCCTTTTGCCTCAAGCTCTGTGATATCGCAGTTTTTAATCATCAAAGTTTCTATTTCTTAGTAAATATCAAGTATTCAAACCTAGCCCTAATTTAGATTTTGAGACATGATTTTGTCAACGGGGGAGCACCCAGCAAACCTCCCAGACACTTTCAACCCCTAGGGCAAAAGTTGGAGCGTCCCGGTCTGTGTACGTGCACAAATCTATGTGCACGTGCACAAGCAGGTGGCGCCGCGCAGTCCCTCATTGCTTCCACCCAAGGGTGAGCTGGTTCTCAGCTTCGGACCCAACATGTCTTGCAACAAGTCCTACTCTCTCAGCTTACTATATAACGGCAAAGCAGTTTCAATTACGATATGGATTATTTACGAACAAGATTATATGTTAACTGTCTTTAAAGGAGACTGCGACAGATAAAGTTAAGCTGAAAGAGTTAAATTTGGGACATGTTGCAAATGGGCATCTTCTTTTGATGTAGCCTGCCCGTTACCACATGCAATATCCTTAGAGATGAGTATAGTTCGAGCTTATAGTTGCAGCTTATCTGTGTATCTGAAAACGAGAGGGTTTGTAATATATTTATAGCTGCAGGGCGTATAGCTTTCAGTTGACCGAATTGAAGACGTTCGGTATTAATAGAAAAGGTGAATTATGAAACGATAAATCTTAGTTTTGGAGTGAAAATCTAGTCGTTAAGAAGACATTTATTTACTTTTATCTGTAACTGCTAGGAAGAATTCCTGACTGAATTTCCCATCAGAACTGCACAGCTATACCCCGTGAATTAAGCTTATAGGATATATCTGAAAAAATCATTTGTTGGATTTCCTTGTACGCCCATTATTTGTATCAAAGTCAAGCGTTCAAATTTAAAACCAATTATAGTGCTAATACATGTAAATTTTAGACATGTATTGGCCTGAAACAGAAGTTGACCCCAGAAACCCAGACTACTTTGATCTTAGGGCACGATCAAAGGTTTCCATATCAACATACCTCTATACTTGTCACCCACAACTGATTCTAACTGTTGGAGTCGGTGTCCAGTCTTACATCGCACACTTTGAGTGCTAAATTAGATGATGTTATGAGCTCTTTCTCATTGTGCAACGGTATAATTGATCGTGATTATAGTTTTTGATGATTTCAGGTTTTGCAACGCTTTCAAAGGATCACACATGAACTTAGGGAATTAATGCAAAGAACTGCTAAAGCCTCAGACAGTAGACACCAACTCAACAACAGAGAGCCAACAGTGTTTGACAATAGAGCTGTCAGCAGGCCGGGGTCGAGACTTTATGTTCCAGTTACCGCTCGAGGGTGGACTGCTCTTAGAGTCAGTACGGGCCCTACATGTCTTGCAAAAAGTCCAACCACCCAAACGATACGCCGGTATTTTCGAGGTGTAATTTTAGGAATTAAGAGGCCTCATCAAACTTTCTCTTTTAATTGCTGTTAACTCAACAATAAAGAACTTAAGTTTGATAAATCAAAATAGTAAGTTCATTGTTTGTGAAAATTGGAAGCGAAACAGACCGGTCGTAGTTTGCGTTGGGGTGATTTGTTGTGGACACAATGCAGGCGAGCATCTTTTTTTACGACTTATTTTTTAATGCGATTATTAGTTTGAATTATAATCGGGTTGCTTGTAGCAAAAGAAGAACAATATCATGCGAAATTTATAAGGAGCACACTGCTAGAAGTAGATTGAAAACTAGGAGCCTTCATATTTTTATGGAGAGTTATATTATAGATCTGACAGCCTTACTTTAACTTAAAATAGAGATGGGTCTCGTAGAAGAAAATAGCTGGTTCAGCGTACTTACAGATACCTCGTCTTTAATCGATTTCTGAAATAATAATCATTAGTTTGAGGTTGTTGTTGGGGTATTATTTATATTTGTTGTACGGTTTATCAGTTAAATATTCGGAGTTTTAGACGAAAAGCTGGCGAAGTGTTATCACCTGAGCTGGACGATTGAGATCCCCGCTGCTGATCATCTCCACCAGCTTGTCCGTCTCTTCAGCTCCAGAGATCCTCAAACCACAACTGCTCACTGAGAACTGAGGTAACCCCTCTTACCCCTCTCTGCCTGTCCCAGATGCTTGCTGCATGAATCTAGCCAATGACAGTCGTGCATCTCCTTGCTCTTTGTTCCCATTGGCTGCGCAGCTACACGTGCAACTCAGTGCAGCATCGAATGAGCTGAACACGTGGCCCGGGACTGGCCAATGAGCGGTCAGAACTCGGATGCGCAGCCAATAGAAATCGAGGAACGGTGCATGAGCATACAGCAGTGAGCTGCTTGCTTCCTTGAGCACAGTTGGACCAATGGCAGCGCATGTAGATAACGGACTGACCAATCGGATCGCTTAGAACACCTCGAGCTCTAATGGGCTGACCAATGGTCACTCAGTATTCGTGATCTATTGACTCTCATTGGTTGCCTAGCCAAATCCATGTTGCCCGGCAACCAATGAGCAGTGATCGAGGACGATTAGATGCTACTTTTAGAATTTGCTGGGGCGCCTTCCCTGTTTTACATCACAAACGAGATAACGAGGTGTGTGGGAGGGAAGGATTATCTAAGAGAGAGAGGGAGATGGAGAGAGCAAGAGAACTAGCGAGAAAGAGCAGGTGAGAGAGAGAGCTCCCTCTGCTGGCTAATGTCATTTCTAACTCTGGTTAGCAGGGACTTCGTGAGGTCACGTGTCGCTTAGTTGAAGTCACGTGAGCCTGGGCCCAGCACCTGGATAGGCTGAGAACATGTGCTTTGACAGCATAGCTATCCAGCTCAGTCCAGGTAGACGAGAGCTGCATTGTATTACATCAGCCTCGGTACACAATAACGGGGGTAAACCCGGGCCAGCTTGCCTTGTCTTGAATAAACCAACGATTTGAGCTCCAACTCATCTTAAATCGCCTGGATTATTCAAGAGGGGTAGTTAAGAGGGTTGTTGCTAATCGACAGCTCGGCGCTGCACAGCTTCCTTCAACCCTGCTACAGCATGGTGAGGCACGTGCCTACTCAATGAGGCTGTTGTCAACTTATAGAGTTAGAGCTGTCAGCACGAGCCTTATCTTATCTTGTTATAGTACGGGTCACGGGGTGCGAGGAACTAAGAAATAAAGTAGATCCGAGTATGAAGTATGTCTCACTGGTTGTGAATAGTTCAACTAGAAAATTAGCAACGAAAGCTGAATATATTCGCAAACTATAACGTCGGGCGTCGGTTTGACTTTAAAACAAGAAACAAATCACTAAACAAATCACTAATTTTAAAAGAGATAGTTTAATGTTGTACCCTCCTTCCAGCCACCCTCACACTCGTTTAGTAACTGCCTTAACAAAATTACAAATCATACGAATTGTACTTCTATTGAGGACACGATCATATACGCGTATATAATATACAACACAAATCAGTTTACCTACATAATATTAATATATTGCTACCGGCGAAATGGTCGTCTGCAGTCTGGTTCCTCAGCGGTAACTAATCCATATTATTCTTACACCACTAGTTGCCGAGCATTGAACTGCGCTAGAACCCACGTAAATATAACGGATGTGATTTATAACGCTACATTATGGACTGGGAAGGAAACGAAAGTAAAGTGCATATTGGGCCGCAGAGTATGAGAGCATCGTCACTCGTGCGTTTCAGTAATAAAATTGTGGGTTTATTAGCTGAACCTAGTGGGCTCCCTGAATTAACTGCCCGGTTATATAAATGTAGTCGCGTATTATCTACATATACTAACTATCATGGAATGTAGCCAAGTTTATTTTTTAAATATTCCCGTGCTATTTCGTCATTCTCACAGAATTAACCCAATAATAACACGTGAGTCTGTGACCATAGTATTAATAACAAATAACACGTTCCAACTGGGCAAAACAGATAAAATGATGTCGATGTCATACAAACAGTGTGCCTAAGATTGAGTAATGTAACAATGAAGCATTGCAGTTGCAATGATTGTAAAACTAAAGCAGTGTCCATTAATTGTAGAAATTTGTGAAAACTTGTTGAGTCGATGACAATTTACCAAAATTTTGCAAGGACAACTTGGCAAATCGCCAAATGGATCAAAAAAGGGATTATCCTAATTCAAATTGACGTCACTTATTGGCGGAGGGACACGGGGCTTGACGACAGCAAGGAGATGAACAAACTCATGCTGGATAGACAGATTTGGAAAAAGCCGCCCTAAGTCGAGTAAGTCGAGTTATTGGCAAAACTTTTTTATTATGACTCTTATTTTCCTAAAACGTATGACACCTCTAGCAAAATATCACCGTTTTGCCATAAAGCGGTCATGAATACATCAAACATGCAACAGTACCATCCTAAGATGAGAAGTACGAATGAGTCGAACTTTTCAATTTACTCGTATCGTACGTACTTTTCAATTCTACTGAAAAGTTCTCCTTCTGGAAATCGATGGAAGAGTTCTAAATCGCATGTTACGGACTAATATTGAGCGTTTTCAAAAACTTGCGTTTCTATATATTCCAATCGTCGATTAACTTAAAGTTTTACTTTAAGAGAAACAAGCTGTTTAAATAAGTAAATTGTCTAGTAATTTTTTAGAATTTTTGTTTTACTTTTAAATGCTTGCCTGACCTAAGAATTGTGTGTTTAATTTGTTCGCGAACGGTATATTTTCTCTAACATCGGCAAACAATTACATTTTACGACGGCCCCGATGATAATAATTCAAAAACAAAAAAATTCTATCTGTATCGTACGTCGTATGAGTCGAACTTTTCAAAGTTGGGTACAAGTACGTACTTTTCCCCCTAAACGAGTCCGTACTTCTCATCTTAGGTACCATCAGCATCATACTGGGTTTATTAGTGCCACCAATGCAACAGTACCATCAGCATCATACTGGATCTATTATATAAGTGTCACCTATGCTAATTATGCCACTGAAAGGACCTTGTCAATGATGAAAAACGAGGAACAGGTACATTGTAAAACTTAACCCATGGCTTAATTGAAATGTCTCAATGAAGTGCAGTGGTGAGTTGTGTAGTGACATTGTTGCACACCGCCATGGTAATTATTTCACAGCTGCGCCGAAAATTTTTGGTCGGCGCACATTAAAAACCGATAAATCACATTTTATCGTTTTAGATTTGCTGCATCCACTTGCTATCGACTGAAATCGTATTTTAAAATGACCGTCCCTAATATTGAAATGCTGTATTAAGACTGATCATTGGCTCTGCTCATTCGCCAGCTGACCACTGACCATTCCGCTAATATATTTACCACCAAGTGAACGCCGATTGCTTCAAAAGCAGTAAACTGTCTTTGTCCCTATGCAGTAAGATTTACTTCAATTGGACAAAATGGGCGTTCCGTTTCAGAACTCATAATTATCCGCATTTTTGAAGATCTCATAATAATCAGTATTTTAGGAAGTTTTTAATGGGGAATACAGCGATTTCCAATTATTATTGAAGTAATAAAGTTATAATAAGCTCCTATTGGTACTCCTAACTCTGACAATTAGTGAAGGCTTAGGTACCTTTAACGTAGGGACAAGACAATGCTAACACACATCAAAACATACCTTGTATAATAGTGTATACGGGTCTCCCAATTCTCTGAATCTTCCTGATAGATAAGTCCGGATCCCCCAGATCTTCTAACCACCGTCAGATGAGAAAACCAAACAACCAAACTTAACCGCGATCAACAAATGAGCGTAAAGAGGACGCCCCAACAATATAAATAACAACATCTCCTTACGTCCGTGAGGGACAGGTGGAAACAACGACCTCGCAATTTAATGAGGCGCACGTGGGACGACGTTCGGTCACGTGACTCCTGGTACTATGGTCACGTGACCCGTTACTATGACCACGTGACCCGTTCAATTGCACCTGGCATTGAGCTTCGAGGACTCTGTCGCTTTATTTAGCTACAGATATTTTATATATTAGCTGTATAACGGTACGACAGGGGTCCAGTAATTGTTTATTATACGTTAGTCTGAGAATGTAAGGTAACTAGTAAGACAAAAGGTTCGAACACAACAACAGACAAAAAAACATGAGTTTGAAGTGCAGCTTGAGGTATATAAGTACATTTTGTAAATACAAATATGTTTTTCTGCGGGTTTAGTCGACGAAGGATAAATTACCAATATGTTTTGTCTTTCGCTCGGCTGAAATTAAGATGCTACAACAAAAGGTTCTCGGTAATATTTTAATGTCAAAGGTCTATTTCTCCGACGAACGAAGCTAGTTGAACACACTCTGATAACTATGAAGTAACACATTTTGAAGTACTTTAACGTATAATACGCCAGAGAACGAACAATGAACCTGCCACCAGCTCATGTGGCTAGAGCGAGGGAGGCTGATATCTGTGACGTCACACGTTAAAACCAGTTGCAAAATAATAGATGTCACAGCCTGACAATTGAGCGTGACGTTATTGATATTCAAGTATTGTGTCTCAGCTGGATTAGCTCGTCTGGCTCCTGACACGTTTGTTTCTCAATAACAATAACTACATGATAAGCCTGTAAGACAAATACTGAAATTTCTCGAGAACAGCTACTG